GGCCCCCGGCGGCTGCGGGACCCTCGTTGCTCGGGGAAAGCGAGGTGGAAGAAATCCGCTCCGAGCGGCCCTCCCAAACCCGCCTCTCTTTGGGGTCTCAAAGGTTACGGCCAGAGAGCTGAGTCTAAGAGAAAATGTTTACTTCCCGAGGGAGGAGCAGTCACTAAAGCGACTTCGTAAGGAGCTAGACCGCAGCAGCACGAGAGTAACCTTTACCTAGATGAGGACCCGGCGCAGGGCCCTGGGGAGCCCATCTCCGCCAACCAGGATTTGTGCTCGCATTTACTGTGTTAACCACTGTAGATACATGGGCATCCTTTTCTTCCCACTTGTTATTCTATACACATGCACATATACATACACACACGTGTGCACGCATGTAAAGGAGATCATATGCTCCTAGTTTTTATTACAGAGAGGTGCATCAGGCTTTGATGGGCAGGCATCACTTGTTGCCCTAGTTCATTTTGGCCGCAGCCAACATTAGGAATCAGTGCTGCCCTCTCCCGGTAATTCACCTTTAAAAAAATCGGAGGGGCGGAACTTTCCTTTAACTCTTCTGTTGTTCAACAGAGCATTTTGTGTTTCCTCATGTCGTCCTACCACCTAAAAACAGGCAGCACCCGCACAAAGAATGACTTTGGAAGGCCACCCAGCTCTGGGCCACTGGGAGTCAGGCAACCGGTCACTCACCAGTTATGTGAAGTTGGCCAAAATACTTCACCACTCTGTGCCCCACTTAACTGCATTCATCAAATAGGGAATCATGATACTTAACCTTCTTTTGTAAAAACCCTTGAGAGAAGTGCTTAATTAAGCTAATGTTTTGAGGGGAGGGGACTTTTATATAGGATAGTAACTGATGTTGGATTAATTGTATTTAATTCACCTCAGTTATACCTGTTGTGTAAGATTGGTCTTCTGCGGGTATTGAAATCCTATAAAAATATACTTAGTTCTTACATATAATATGGACTCTTCTGCAATGATGCAAATAAAGCCTCTCTCAAGATAGCTTTGAATACCTCTACAAGCCAAATTTTTATGGACACCTTCCTTCACCTATCCTTATTAGATGGTCCAGCCTGATAACAGCAATGTTGGTGCTGTACAGTTATTCCCAGGATCAGGTCAAAAGCAGAAGGGTAGAGAGAGAGCATGAGAAAAGCAGGGTAAGAGAAAACCAAACAATGGTTCAGAAGAAGGAAACTGAAGACAGGGAGGGCATTATGCACAGCTGAGCAGGGTCCCTGATTGTCCATCGTCAGGGGCTCGGGAAGGTACTTGTCTAGGCTTATCAAAAAAAGATAGATTCTCTGTCCCACAGAATCCTGGTAGCTTCCCCCATTTTGTTTCATATATTTTTCCACTCTTAGAAACAGGAAAAAACCCCACAAAGGATGTCCCCCTTATTATTGTTAAAAGTTAGGTCTTGTTTTCTAATTTCCAACACATTTTATTAGTTTCTCATTTTGTTTTTCTCATGGTTACCGACATTATCTTATTACAACAGTCCTTGAGTTCATCAGTAACCTTTTTGTTGGACTAATTCAGTCTTTTTGACTCATTAATTTTTCCTATCAACATATATATATATATTACATTATTATATTATTATAACATGTCTAGGAACCTTCACCCATCTCCCAACAGTTGATCTCACAATTGGCATAGGCATGCTAACTACCATCTTATTCAACAGCCTCTTATAGCTGGCGGAAATCACTTCCGTTTTCTGCAATTCTCATCATATCAGCAGCGATTCTCCCCAGCTACCTGACAACTGGCCGCCTCCCCTGCCATTTCTATTCTAATCCTTAATGTTCTCTCACGGCCTCTCAGCTGCCACTGAACCATTTAGTGCTTCCAGCTGCCATTTCCTTCCTGTCCTTAAAAAAAACCCCTAGGAAAAGAAAGTTATTAATAATTTTGTTCATCAAGATAAAAGTTCTTCAAACCAAGATATACTAAGGTTAACACTATATTTCCTAAAACTTTGCTGAAATGGTTTCCAAAGAATGATCTACCCTTCAAACAGTCTATTATTTTGCATGATTCTCATAATAGGCTCTAATTTAGAATCAGACATGGCACAAAGAAACAGTAAAGCAAAACCTGCACTGGCAGAGGGAGAAAGACTAACAACACCTGAAAATTTTTATCTTCAAAATGCTTTTCATATCAGCACCTATGATAGCACCACTTTTCTAACAGCTCAAGTGAGATGCAGAGAGGAGAGCCAGCTTGCCCAAAGCCACAATTTGAATCTGTCAAACTTGATACCAGAGAACTCTACAGTTCCTGGCTTTTCCAGTTCACCATTAGGCAATGCTTAGGCAATGCACCAACAGCCTCTTGTTTTTGTCTGATTTCCATTTTTCTAATTATATATTGTAAAATGGTAAATGCTATTAAAAGCAGAGGAAGTTATACAATTATGCTTTCAGTTCCTCATAGGACCGATATAAAAAGCAGACTGACAGACATAAATATATCTGTAAATTAAGAATCTATAAGAAGCCATGGAAGGGGAATCAAATTCAAACCTGGATGCAGTAGCAAGGGTAGCATGGCACTCTTGATTTTATTCTTCTGTAAAATTAGATTTGATTCAACACTTTTAATAAGGTCGTGGACTTTAAAAGTTGATTAATCTAGTATCTGATACAAGTGTATGTGCTTCCATGCCTCCAACTTGGCAAAACTCCCATTGAAGGGCTGAAATGAATCGTTTCTGCCAATTGCAGAACAGATGACACTATAAAAGAAAAATGAACATTTTTCGAAACACACAGGTGCCTTTATAAGTTGGGCCCAGCATACTAGAAAGTTAAGAAAATTCTACATGTTTACAGAGTGGATAAAATTAATGGGTTTTTTTAAATAAAAAAAAATGTTTTATTTAAATCAGATGTTTTTATTTAATCATAATGATTTTTTAAGATGCTTTTAAAAAAACATATAGTTTTAATTTAAGATATGTTAAAGCTTAAAGATATCATCATGGAATAGGGATTATAACTTCTAGTTATATACTATTTGAGACAATATGTTTATGTAACCTTTTGAGAAGTTTTATAAATAGGTCGCAACAGGCCATGGACTATCTTAGGGATCCAGTCTTATAGGGTTTCCGAGGCTCCTCTATAGATTTGTAAAGATTAAAGAAAACCACTCTACCGCATGGGACTCGGCGCTCAGTCTAAAAGATCCCATTAAGTATCTTTGTGATGCTCAATTTCAGTTCTCAAAGTGAGGATTTTGTGTCTCTAGAGCAGTGGTCTCCAACCTTTAAGTAAGAGATCACTTTCAAACTTAAAAGGAACCAAAGATCTACCCTGCCACACACTCCCTCCGGCCCCACAGGCAAGTCTAAGGCGGGGAAGAGGGCAGAGGAAAGGGCTGTGGTGGGGAATGAGGCAGCCCTAGCCCCACTACCTCCCTCACTGCTGGGGCTTCTATCTGTCCCCCCCCTCCCCCAACAGTGGAGAGATAGGGAATGGAGCAGGGGCAGGCCCTGCACAGCCCCCACGGTGCAGGGGACAGAGTCACAAGTGACTCATCTGGTGGGGCAGTCCCTAGTTCTGCCGGTGGAGCAGTGCTGGCTGCAGGACTGCAGTGACAGCAGTGCTGGGAGCGAAGCCTGGGGGTAGGGGGGCATAGCCCCCCCAACCACTGCTCCCAGTGCTGGGGCTGCCCCTCCAAGCACAAGTGTGGGCCAGGCCCAGCAAGAACAGCCCGGTGCAGCCTTCCAGCCAGCAGCTGCAGGCCACACCCCGGCCCTCAAGTCCTCAGAGAGGGGCATTGGGGAGGCTGCACCGAGCTGTTCTCACTGGGCCTGGCCCACACTTGGGGTGGGTAGTGCCAGATGGAGGATTACACCCCCCCCCAGATCTCACTCCCAGCGCCACCTCAGCCTGGGCAGGAAGAGCTGGTGTGGCCCCAGCCACAGCCCACACCAACCTGCCGGCAGATCCAGGGTCGCACACCCCTGTACTGTGCCCCCTGGACGAGCCACTTGCGGCTCCACCCCACTCCCTGCACTGGCTGGGCAGGGCCTGCCCCTGCCTCATTCCCTACCTCAGACCTGCTGTAGCCATTGGTGCTGCCCCGTGTTTGGGGAGGGGGGTGGCATGTGCTCCTCTGATCTGTGTGCAGCAGAGGCAGCTGCCGTTGCAGGCTGGGCTTTGTGTCCCAAGCCCTGCTGCACATGCCACCTGGGCCTCTGCCCCTTCCCTCCCCCACAAACTGACCTGTTGGGCTGGGGGCATGGTGCTTATGACTGCCTGTATGCACTCAGCCCCCCCCAGGATCGACTTCAAGAGGCTCCAGGATCCACCGGGTGACCTAGAGATCATAGGCAGATAAGTTCCTTTTGGTAGATGTGATATCTTTTATTAGATCAACTAAATAGTTGGGAAAGTTCTTTGCAAGCTTTTGGACATAAACACTGTTCTTTAGGCACAGGGAGAGTTTGTCCTCTCCAGAGATAACATCCTCAGGCATATATATACACACACCTTTTCATCCCGTGGCGCACTGGAGATCCGGTGGGTTGAAGTAGACTCAATTAATCAAGTCTGCTCCACATGCAAGCTGATGCACACTGTGCTGTGTCACATGTAGTGTATAGGTGGTGAAATGCACCGTCAGCACACAGAAAATGGCAGTGGTGCACTTTTGAACTAAAACATCTCCATGGATGACCCACCCATCAGCCCTATTGTCTCCCTGCAGGTTTGTGTACACATGCTCTAGCCCTTACCTTTCTAGAAGTGCGAAGTTCCTAGAAGTTAAATGAATAAAAGATATCAAACAACAAGAATGCACTTTCTGTAGAAAGCAATGATTAAATCGAGGCTTCCTGATCAGTGATTTAACCTGATTCAATTTAAACCAAATCCACCCTATACGTTTAATAAATATTTCATTTACAAGGCCTACTTTTGCCATTATTTATTCTTTACCAATACAAACATGTTTGATTTTGAACGATAAACTGCGCTTTTTATCACATTAAGGCATAAACATACAGTGCCCAAGTCAACACAGCGCAGCAGCTCCACACAAGTCTCACTAGTCTTCCTTTGCTACATCTTGTGGTGCTTCCAATGTTTCCTTAATTTGTTTCTGTTCTCTTCTGAACTGATCAAAGATTGGCTTATAGACGTAGATGCCTCCAGCAACGCCAAGGACCATCCCCAGGATTTTCTGAGGAAAGGTCAGTCTACCAAACATATTCACGGCCACGGAAAGGTGCTAGGCCCCTCGTCACATAAATGCCAACTAGTCTGCACGTCCCCGCGGCGCTCCCGGATCTGCGGACAACGAAAACGGCCGTCACACCCCGGCTCGTGCGTTGTGCTTTTGCCAGCGGCTAAAGGGGATCCCGACTCCACCAGGGACAACGCGCAGTTTCCGCTTCACCCGCAGAGGCTGGCGGACGCAGAGAGAGGTCTGCGCCTTACCAAATACTTAGACTTCAACCTGGACCTGGACTGGAAAAGGCCTGTGCTTGGGCACATGTCGGAACGGGAAAGCGGCGGCCAGCTTGCAGCTACTGCTGGTGAACGAGCGCAGCCCTCCTTGCCGCGGCGACCATAGAGACAGGACCGCCCAGACAAGCCGGAAGGACGTCGCTTCCTTCTCCGGAAGCTGCCGCCGCGCGCCCCTTGCCCCTTGGCCGCGCACTTGCCTACCCGGCCGGCCCCGCGCCACATCTCCCGGCCGGTGCCGGCCACCGAAGGCAGGCGCGATGGAGGCGGAGGCGGGCGGCCGGCGGTTTGCCCGTGGCCCAGCCGGGGCCGACGGCGCTGTGCGGCTCCGTAAGAGGAAGTCGGTGCTGTACAGCTCCGCCGGGGTGAGCGGCGGCGCCCGGGGCGCAGGTGAGGGACGTCCTGGGACCGAGCCGCCTCCTGGCGCCATCTCCGGCCTGGGGCGGGGGCTGTCCCAGTCCGCCGGGCTGCGAGTGCAGGGCTACGCGCTAAGCTGCAGCACGGGCGGACCAGAGCTGCCGCCAGCAGGCGATGGTAGGCAAGGGGGCTGGAAGGTACCGCACAGGGTCACCCAGGCCAGCGGCCTGTCTGCTTCACCTGCTCCTGAAAACTTCCGGGAGGGAGACGCCCCCCACCTCTCTGGGCAGCCCGTGCTGGGGCTGATGACCTTCAGAATCAGATATTCTTCCTACTCCAATCTGAATTCCCTCTGCTGTGGTTGAAGTGTGTTGTTCCAGTCCTGGCCCGACAGCTACACAGAAAAGCCCATCTACATCCTATCTCTATAATGGCCCTTCAGGTATTTGAAGAGTTACAAATCCCCCTCCATCTTCTCTCCCAACTAAACAGCAGTAGGTCTTTCAGTCTATCACAAGTCTGGCTTCCCAGGCTCCTAATCATTTTTTGCTGCTCTGTGGTGGACTCCGTGCAATCTGTACACCTTTTTGAAGTCTGGGACCCAAAACTGAACCCAGTACTTCAGGTGAGGCATCACTAGTGGTGAGTAGACCACAGACGCTCTGCTAGACTTCATCTTCTTAAGGCACAGGATATCCCATGGACACGGCCTGTTGCTGGGCCTGAGCCATAAGTGGCACTGGCATGGGCCCACACCAGGGTTCATGTGCTGACACTAGATTCTAGCACTTAAAATGTTTCTAACACTCACATTTGCAAAGAGAAGCTTGAAAGCAAGTGTGACAGGTGCACTGTCCTCTGCTTGGCCTCTGGCAGAGAAAAGGGCAAGCACCAGCCCCTGCCAAAAAGGGGAACCTGCATACCATATTCAGCATCAGTCCCTAAAAGTGACTGATTTCAGTGCTGAGGAGGAATGCTGCTCACTGTACCCATAGAAGTGGGATCTGAAGAACATGAGTGCTACATCTTGGGCACAGTAACATTTGATTCTTCAAGGTGTCATCTTTGCTTTCTCACTATTTTTATAAACTGAAAAAATAATTTAAATTCACATTACCATAATTGAACATCTGCCTTCACCACCACCAGTTAGGGGTATTTACATCTCTCAGAACTACTTTCTCAGATTGCAAAATGGGCTGATGCCAATGCAGCCATTACCTTCAACTACTGAATCAAAGCTAGAAAGGACTCTGAGTTTATTCATCTTCATTTGTTTGAAGGGTAGAGACTTTTGAAAAATAGAAAACAGATTCCAAAGAATATGCTGGCCAGTTCCCCCCAATCCCCTCCCTCCCTCCATTCACCCAAATGAATGAAAGTCTAGTTTTGGGGGGAAGAATAGCTCAAGTCCAAAGCAGTCAATTCACATTGTTTTCTACCTGCTAATAACCCAAGGTACTCGTCTTTGCAAAGTTTTTGCTAGATTGTTTTAACTTCTTTTGTACTTCAAACACATTTTACTTGATGGTGGGACAACATTCTTTTTAATTAAGATTTCAACACAGAACCAACTAGATGCCAAGAAAAATCTCATTAAAGTACAAATTGCAAATAAGGACAAGAAAATGACTGAAATTGACAGAGGATTAAATCTGATGAGTTAAGGGTTTTTCCTAGTCTTGCTTCCAGGATCAGGCTACTAGATAGTTAACAGCTGTCAGTTGGAAGAGATACCTCTGTTCAAATAGTAATTGGTGTACAGTATAATTACTGAAGCATCTATAAAAGTTTTCTTAAAACTACTGTTTCGCTTTCTCAGATCTTATTGGTGAACACATTTATTTGGTCTTGTTTACCATAACTCTACGAGTATTTAACTGCATTCTAGTCCAGACAAGCTTTGTTCCAGATGAATACTGGCAGTCGCTTGAAGTTGCACATCATATGGTTTTCAAATATCCTTTGATATGAAGTTAAAATAAATGGCATTGTTCTAGAATTAAATGTGTTCACTTTATTTCATTTTATCATAATTAAATCCAACTTTGTGTGGGCAGGCTGTCTGGCTGCAAGTCTCTCTGGCAACATTAAATGAATCTGATCATTGGTAGAATCACTAAAAGTAGCCATGAAGTAAAATCTTGTTTTTTCCTAAAATTGTGAAAGCTTGAAAACAAGCAAAGCTCAAGTGTGAAAACTCTGTTTCATTTATTTATGGTATATATCCTTAATATTACTAATTATGGCCACCTGACTTGGGAATGGGAAAAAGGCTTACGAGGTTACTCGTACCCGCTACTCTTTGCAGGCACGTATAAAATTTTACAGCTGTTGGCAAAGGATGAGGTTCAACTACTGGTAAGTAATTAAGTAACTAAAAAGCCCATCCGTTACTTAACATTAATGCATCAAAATGGTGTGCTATAGGTCAGACATTTCTTGATTGCTGCCTATATGAAAAGAAAAACCCAGATCTGGCAGTTGGATCTATGTGTATTAAACCACTGTACCCAGGGTAGAGCCTCAGTGAAATTAGTGGGGCTCTACCATGGTTCTTGGGCCCACTCACAGAACTCTAAAAGGCAGGACAGACCATTAAAATTGTAAGTAATGATTCTTGGCTTCTCTCAGCCACTTGTGGTTTCAAAGCATGTATTGTTCAGCGTTAAAATCTTACTTGCTTAGTAAGTCCTTGGAAACAAAGTAAGTTTTTAATTGTATAAGACTATGGAGAGGTGCTGGAGGACTGGAAGAGGGCCAATGTGGTTCCAATCTTCAAAAAAGGGAGGAAGGAGGACCTGGGAAACTATAGGCCAGTTAGTCTTACCTCGATCCTAGGCAAGTTGTTTGAGAAAATAATTCTGGCATACATCCAGGAGGGGACAGCAAGGGACTGCATGCTTAGGGGCAATCAGCACAGGTTCATCAGTGGCAGGTCCTGTCAGACCAATCTGGTGGCTTTTTATGATCAGATCATCAGATCATTAGATGCAGGGGTAGCAGTGGACATAGTCTTCCTGGACTTCCGGAAGGCTTTTGACACTGTCGCTCACCCCATTCTCATTAAGAAAATGGGAGGCTGTGGCGTAGACACCCACACAGTCAAATGGGTCACCAAGTGGCTGGAGGGCCGCTCCCAGAGGGTGGTAGTGGATGGG